TTAAGAGGGTTACAGACTGTAACTCAAGGTTACAGACTCAAGGTGCTACGTTACACAGAATAAATAAGATTACGAGAGAAATAAGAAACTTTTTGAAATAAATAATAACATAGACAAGATAAATAAAAATAATAATGTAGAATAAATAAATTTTGAAGAGTCAGAAGTATTTTGAAAGTTACAATAGAGTACCAATCAAATCACTGTATACAAAAATAAGAAATTAATAGTTTTACTTAAACTAACACTCACTTCAAGACAAATCTAAGTTCACTTATTTCACATAGACAAGTATTCACAAAGAAATATTTTAATCTTATTATAACACAAGACCTAATTTCTTATATGCTTGTCAGTCATACATAACAAAAAATTATACACACCAGTATACATAATAAAATATAGAGTTATTGAAGAGTATTTTTCAACCATTGTATGAAATCTCGTACCTTAGAGCGTAAGGGTATTATAGTTATAGGGGATTTGATTCTGTGTTTTCATTAAACCACGTGGCTTGGTAATATGTAAACAAACCCCACGTGGCGGCCACGTGGCAATGTTTACATCATCCGCCAGCAGGATTCTTCAGCTAAAGTGACATTCCGATATACACAATACGAAGTGTGTTGGCAGATACTCCGGCGCATATCTATACAGCGCAGTTACGTATATGTACATATATGTACACACCTACATATGGGAGCCTACAGCTTTACAGTGATCATATAACACACACACACACACACACACACACACACACACACACACACACACACACACACACACACAGGGGCCTCGTAGCCTGGTGGATAGCGCGCAGGACTCGTAATTCTGTGGCGCGGGTTCGATTCCCGCACGAGGCAGAAACAAATGGGCAAAGTTTCTTTCACCCTAAGTGTCCCTGTTACCTAGCAGTAAATAGGTACCTGGGAGTTAGTCAGCTGTCACGGGCTGCTTCCTGGGGTGTGTGTGGGGTGTGGGAAAAAAAAAAAAAAAAAAAAACACACACACACACACACACACACACACACACACACACACACACACACACACACACACACACACACACACACACACACACACACACACACATGTACGACAAGGAAAATTATGCATCAAAGATAGAGTCCATTTTGAGTGCTTTGAAGTCCATTTTGAGTACTTTGAAGTCCATTTTCAGTACTTTGAAGTCTATTTCGAATACTTTGAAGTCCATTTTAAGTACTTTGAAGTCCATTTTGAGTACTTAAAGTCCAATTTGAGTACTTAAAGTCCATTTTGAGTACTTAAAGTCCAATTTGAGTACTTAAAGTCCATTTTGAGTACTTAAAGTCCATTTTGAGTACTTAAAGTCCATTTTGAGTACTAACATTGAACTCCCCTTAAGAAGATCAAGCAGAAAAGGCTGTTTACATTACTAGTAAGTGTTCTAACCCTTTGCAAGTCCCTCAAGTGCATATATATATATAGACATTAACCTAGATTTTTATATACAATATATAAAAAATAGAAATATAGCTGTATTTACACAATTATAATTATCACTTCATGTTCAAAATACAATACAAAATCGCATTACAAATGAGCATATATATATATATATATATATATATATATATATATATATATATATATATATATATATATATATATATATATATATATATATATATATATATATATGTCGTACTTAGTAGCCAGAACTCACTTCTCAGCCTACTATGCAAGGCCCGATTTGCCTAATAAGCCAGGTTTTCATGAATTAATTGTTTTTCGACTACCTAACCTACCAAACCTAACCTACCCTAACTTTTTCCAGCTACCTATCCTAACCTAACCTATAAAAATAGGTTAGGTTTGGTTAGGTAGGGTTGGTTAGGTTCGGTCATATATCTACGTTAATTTTAACTCCAATAAGAAAAAATTGACCTCATACATAATGAAATGGGTAGCTTTATCATTTCATAAGAAAAAAATTAGAGAAAATATATTAATTCAGGAAAACTTGGCTTATTAGGCAAATCGGGCCTTGTATAGTAGGCTGAGAAGTGCATTCTGGCTACTAGGTACGACATATATATATATATATATATATATATATATATATATATATATATATATATATATATATATATATATATATATATATATATAATCAAGAACTCCTTTTGTTTGGGGCTGTTATTGTTGTTATATATTCAGCTATCCGGAACAAGTTCCAAAGTAGCACGGGCTATGGTGATCCCGTAACTTGTTTGGGGGGTTATTTTCTGGCATATTTATTGGCGTCTGGGAGTTCGTAGATGAGCGCATTCAGGCCGTAGAACCTCGTAGCATGATCGCAGGAGAAGTTATACCACCAGTCACACACGAAGTACTGCTGGTTGAAGACCGTTCCATTGGGACAGAGAAAGGAGTCGTGGCGCCCGTCCTCTTGACAGATGTGGAACGTCTGATGGACAGAACAGGGATGTTAGACAGTGTTTACCATAGGGGGAAGGTAGACAGGTGAATATGAATGAAAGTGAAGGGAAATAAAAAAAAATCATTTAAGGCACAATAGGGATATTGAGAAGCTTACTTCTGAAGCCTCTTGTATTCCACACCAATATTGAAGCCTCTCTGAGATACAAGATAGCACCCAACTCCCAAATAACTTAAACAACAAGGGGAAGGTAAACAGGCGAATATGAATGAAAATGAAGGGAAATAGGAAAATACATTTAAGGCACAATAGGGATATTGAGAAGCCTACTTCTGAAGCCTCTTGTATTCCACACCAATATTGAAGCCTCTCTGAGATACAAGATAGCAAGCACTCAACTCCCAAATACCCGAATCTACAACCTGTCCAAGACATGTATTGACAACTCTACAATCAAGCGCTCAAGAGGCCGCGTGAACCAGCTCTACACCTCGTAGAGCCTCGTAGCCTGGTGGATAGCGCGCAGGACTCGTAATTCTGTGGCGCGGGTTCGATTCCCGCACGAGGCAGAAACAAATGGGCAAAGTTTCTTTCACCCTGAATGCCCCTGTTACCTAGCAGTAAATAGGTACCTGGGAGTTAGTCAGCTGTCACGGGCTGCTTCCTGGGGGTGGAGGCCTGGTCGAGGACCGGGCCGCGGGGACACTTAAGCCCCGAAATCATCTCAAGATAACCTCAAGATACACGATATCAAGCTTTCTCTCCCTCTCTCTCTCTACTGTGAATAGGTAGATTACCTGACACTGAGCCTCTACATCAGCGTACAGTCCCGGATGGTCCTGGTCTTGACAAGCGAAGGACGTGACAGGAACTGTCTCGTAGACGGGGTAATCTACTCCAGCGTCGCCTGGGATAGCTTCTTCGTCGTATTCTACCGGGACGTAGATATTGCGATCTGTCGGAAGATAGGGGTGGTTAATGTGGGGGTAGATAGGGTAAGATAAGATAGCTATGGTAAGATGGGATAAGATAACAAGGTGTAGCAGGGGAATTTTGGCAATGTGTGAGGCAAAGATAGCAGCTGCGTCAGGTGTAGTAGCTGCGTCACTGGTACCAGTTGCGTCAGACATATCATCTGCGTCACAGCAGGTAAGTTAGGGGTAACAGTTGTCAGGTGTAACAGCTGCGTCAGGTGTAACAGTTGCGTCACTGGTACCAGTTGCGTCAGACATATCATCTGCGTCACAGCAGATAAGTCAGGGGTAACAGTTGCGTCAGGCGTCACAGCTGCGTCAGGTGTAACAGTTGCGTCACTGGTACCAGTTGCGTCAGACATATCATCTGCGTCACAGCAGGTAAGTCAGGGGTAACAGTTGCGTCAGGTGTAACAGCTGCGTCAGACATATCATCTGCGTCACAGCAGATAAGTCAGGGGTAACAGCTGCGTCAGGCGTCACAGCTGCGTCAGACATATCATCTGCGTCACAGCAGATAAGTCAGGGGTAACAGCTGCGTCAGGCGTAACAGTTGCGTCAGGTGTAACAGTTGCGTCAGGCGTCACACCTGCGTCCTGCGTCACAGTTGCGTCACCGGATAACTCACCAGACTGAACAAAGTCCGGCTGTGACGGTGCCGTGACTGTGGTGACAGCAGCACCCCGCCCGTGGTACAGTGATGACGGTGCACGGTACGCCTTTGTCGAGGTGCGGTACACAGGTGCATCTTGCGTCCTGCCCTTGCGTCCAGGGGCGGAGGCCAAGGGTGCCCGCGTACCGTAACCCCTGGCGGCGGGCGTGGGCGTGGGCGTGGGCGCAGCGGTCGTCGTCTGATAGGGAATATTGGCTAAACGCGAAGATTCGAACTTGGGTCTTCTGGAAACGAGTCTACCGGTGGCGGGTCGCGGCGCGGCGCGACCCGGCGCGCGGGAAACCTCTCGGGCGCGGGTTTGGATCAGCCCGCGTGTGGGCGTGTAGTTTTCGCGGGCGCGGGATGTCGTTGGTACCCGGGTTTGAGGCGTGGGCGTGGGTATAGGGATGTAAGCTGGTCTTAGTTTGATGGTTTTCTCCGGTTGCGTGGGCGTGGGGTCGTCTACGTGGGTGAGGGTGGGGTCAGCGAGGGCGTGGGTGGGCGTGGGATCAGCCAGGGCGTGGGCGGGCTTGGGGTCAGCCAGGGCGTGGGCGGTGGGCGTCTCTTTGGCGAAGAATCGAGAGCTAAAGGGCGTCAGGTTCTGCAGCTCCTATAATGAGAATGACATCTTAAGACCTATATATATATACATCTTAAGACCTATATAGATCTACCCACTTGGGAGAACCCATAGCGCAGGTTCGAATCCTCGCCACGGCTCCCACTAACGCGTGTTTAAGGCAACATATCAGGGGAAAGCACCAAGTCATTTACGACTATATAGCACTGGGAAGGGGTCAGGATTTGGGATGGGACGGGGGGAAAGGAATGGTGCCCAACCACTTTGGGACAGTCGGGGATTGAACGCCGACTCTGTCTATCGTCTATTTCCTCACTATCCACATTCTCTCTTTCCCTAGGGGTATACTACCCCTTGTGCTATCCACCCTTTTTAGCTTCAACTTACCTATGCCCCTACCTTCAACTTACCTATGCCCCTACCTTCAACTTACCTCATTCTCACTCTCACGGTCGTGGGAAAGGTCGTCATCTGTCTCCATGGACCCGGGCAGCGGTGTGTGGTCGTTCAGGTAGTAGTAGGAGTCAGTAAGGTAAGATGGCCCAGGCGGCTTCGTCACAGGCTGTGGGGATGAACACGATTGAAGGGGCAAGTACATGTTAAGGGGAAGCACATGTGAAGGGCAAACACATGTGAAGGGGAAGCACATGTGAAGGGGAAGCACATGTGAAGAACAAGCACATGTGAAGGGCAAACACATGTGAAGGGGAAGCACATGTGTAGGGGAAGCACATGTGAAGGGGAAGCACATGTGAAGGGCAAGCACATGTGAAGGGCAAGCACATGTGAAGGGCAAGCACATGTGAAGGGCAAGCACATGTGAAGGGCAAGCACATGTGTAGGGGAAGCACATGTGAAGAACAAGCACATGTGAAGGGCAAACACATGTGAAGGGCAAGCACATGTGAAGGGCAAGCACATGTGAAGGGCAAGCACATGTGAAGGGCAAGCACATGTGAAGGGCAAGCACATGTGAAGGGCAAGCACATGTGAAGGGCAAGCACATGTGAAGGGCAAGCACATGTGAAGGGCAAGCACATGTGAAGGGCAAGCACATGTGAAGGGCAAGCACATGTGAAGGGCAAGCACATGTGAAGGGCAAGCACATGTGAAGGGCAAGCACATGTGAAGGGGAAGCACATGTGAAGGGCAAACACATGTGAAGGGGAAGCACATGTGAAGAACAAGCACATGTGAAGGGGAAGCATAGATGCAGACGAAAGCACAGTCAGATGATGAGTAAGTTTGTGGGTAACCCTTAAGGTTCGGTGATGAGTGAGTTGGAGAGTGGGTTAGGGGGATGTTAAACTTCAAATCTGATGAGTAGGGAAGTGTTAGGTAAGAGTTTGGTGAATGGTAGGGTAAGATGAAGACAATGTTATGTAAGGTAGGTTCAGTGAAGGGAACTGTAAGATAAGGCAACGATGAGTCACAATAACGAGGCTGAAGATATGATAATCAACCCATTCATCAGAAGATAAAGAGACGACGACGTTTCGGTCCATTATCAAGTCGTCTTATCGACAGAAACGTCTTTTCTTGATTTTCTGATGAATGGTTTGGTTTACAAGGGCACAAGTCAAGCCCGGCCCGAGGCCAGGCTTGACTTGTGAGAGCTTGGTCCACCAGGCTGTTGCTTGGAGCGGCCCGCAGGCCCACATATACCTGCTTGATGGGGTTCTGGGAGTTCTTCTACTCCCCAAGCCCGGCCCGAGGCCAGGCTTGACTTGTGAGAGTTTGGTCCACCAGGCTGTTGCTTGGAGCGGCCCGCAGGCCCACATATACCTGGTTGATGGGGATCTGGGAGTTCTTCTACTCCCCAATCCGGCCCGAGGCCAGGCTTGACTTGTGAGAGCTTGGTCCACCAGGCTGTTGCTTGGAGCGGCCCGCAGGCCCACATATACCTGCTTGATGGGGTTCTGGGAGTTCTTCTACTCCCCAATCCGGCCCGAGGCCAGGCTTAACTTGTGAGAGTTTGGTCCACCAGGCTGTTGCTTGGAGCGGCCCGCAGGCCCACATATACCTGCTTGATGGGGTTCTGGGAGTTCTTCTACTCCCCAAGCCCAGCCCGAGGCCAGGCTTGACTTGTGAGAGTTTGGTCCACCAGGCTGTTGCTTGGAGCGGCCCGCAGGCCCACATATACCTGGTTGATGGGGTTCTGGGAGTTCTTCTACTCCCCAAGCCTTGGAGCGGCCCGAGGCCAGGCTTGACTTGTGAGAGTTTGGTCCACCAGGCTGTTGCTTGGAGCGGCCCGCAGGCCAGGCTTGACTTGTGAGAGCTTGGTCCACCATGCTGTTGCTTGGAGCGGCCCGCAGGCCAGGCTTGACTTTGCTTGGAGCGGCCCGCAGGCCCACATATACCTGGTTGATGGGGTTCTGGGAGTTCTTCTACTCCCCAAGCCCGGCCCGAGGCCAGGCTTGACTTGTGAGAGTTTGGTCCACCAGGCTGTTGCTTGGAGCGGCCCGCAGGCCCACATATACCTGGTTGATGGGGTTCTGGGAGTTCTTCTACTCCCCAAGCCCGGCCCGAGGCCAGGCTTGACTTGTGAGAGTTTGGTCCACCAGGCTGTTGCTTGGAGCGGCCCGCAGGCCCACATATACCTGCTTGATGGGGTTCTGGGAGTTCTTCTACTCCCCAAGCCCGGCCCGAGGCCAGGCTTGACTTGTGAGAGTTTGGTCCACCAGGCTGTTGCTTGGAGCGGCCCGCAGGCCCACATATACCTGGTTGATGGGGTTCTGGGAGTTCTTCTACTCCCCAAGCCCGGCCCGAGGCCAGGCTTGACTTGTGAGAGTTTGGTCCACCAGGCTGTTGCTTGGAGCGGCCCGCAGGCCCACATATACCTGGTTGATGGGGTTCTGGTCCACCAGGCTGTTGCTTGGCCCGGCCCGAGGCCAGGCTTGACTTGTGAGAGTCTGGTCCACCAGGCTGTTGCTTGGAGCGGCCCGCAAGCCAGGCTTGACTTGTGAGAGTTTGGTCCACCAGGCTGTTGCTTGGAGCGGCCCGAGGCCAGGCTTGACTTGTGAGAGTTTGGTCCACCAGGCTGTTGCTTGGAGCGGCCCGAGGCCAGGCTTGACTTGTGAGAGCTTGGTCCACCAGGCTGTTGTTTGGAGCGGCCCGAGGCCAGGCTTGACTTGTGAGAGCTTGGTCCACCAGGCTGTTGCTTGGAGCGGCCCGCAGGCCAGGCTTGACTTGTGAGAGTTTGGTCCACCAGGCTGTTGCTTGGAGCGGCCCGAGGCCAGGCTTGACTTGTGAGAGCTTGGTCCACCAGGCTGTTGCTTGGAGCGGCCCGCAGGCCCACATATCCACCACAGCCCATAAAATACATCATGAAATACAGTAGCCCTGTATTTCTTGAAGTGGGTTTACCTTTGTAATTAGTATACAGGAGTATCCTCCTACAGGAATGGCTAACTTACCACTGGTCTACACTACATAGGAGTCTGGGGCTACATGAGAAGCATATACGGAACCTGCTGCATGGGTAACAGCTTCTCCCCCGTATCAACCTACCCAGGCTTTGCGCCCTGGAGAGAGGGGGGGACCTGCTGCATGGGTAACAGCTTCTCCCCTATATCAACCTACCCAGGCTTTGCGCCCTTTGAGAGGCCACTCCTGACCGACAATTAGAGTCTCCACAGTCTCCTGAGACTGATAATGACAGGTTAACGTCCAAACTTGACCAGTTAAGTCCAGGAGTTGTGTCCCCTACGATAGATATCTTTATCGTAGACAAAGAGATATCTGTAGATAAAAGAGATTTGGTCTCTTTGTCTACGACAAAGAATGAGGTTTGTGTCTCTTTGTCTACGACCAAGAGACACAAAGTAACCCTCTGAGGTTAGTTTGATGTTGGACTTAAGGCCATTCAACCTCTGGAGGGTTATTAAGGCCACCACAATACCTTACTCACCTATCATCATGTATACTGTATCCCTGTTCATAGTAAACTCGTACTGAATATTTACCAAGCAGCTGAGTTTACCTTTTGTGTAGGTATCCCTTGTTTTTTTAGGATGAAAGATAGTCTACCTGTAACTGGTGATAGAGTTAAACTATCAGGGGAAAAGCGTCAAGCCATTACGACTATATAGCACTGGGAAGGGGTCAGGATAAGGATTTGGGATGGGACGGAGGGAAAGGAATGGTTGCCCAACCATTTATGGACAGTCGGGGATTGAACACCGACCTGCATGAAGCAAGACCATCGCTCTACCCAAGTCCAAGTGGAAGAAAAGCAAATGATCTTGTGATGGCTTTCCTAGTAGATCAAAATTAGCAGTTAAACAATGATAAGATTTGCAATAGCTCGAATCCTAGACAAATTTGATTTGGGTTAAACTCATATGTTAATCATGGCAGCTTGTATAAGAGTGATCGTAAACATCTTAGATGAACACCAGCTTACTAAGAAGCAACCAGTACTCACCTAGTTGTGCTTGCGGGGGTTGAGCTCTGGCTTTTTGGTCCCGCCTCTCAACTGTCAATCAACTGGTGTACAGGTTCCTGAGCCTATTGGGCTCTATCATATCTACACTTGAAACTGTGTATGGAGTCAGCCTCCACCACATCACTTCCTAATGCATTCCATTTGTCAACCACTCTGACACTAAAAAAATCTTTCTAACGTCTCTATGGCTCATTTGGGCACTCAGTTTCCACCTGTGTCCCCTAGTGCGTGTGCCCCTTGTGTTAAACAGCCTGTCTTTATCAACCCTGTCAATTCCTTTGAGGATCTTGAATGTGGTGATCATGTCCCCGGCAGTGGGGTAGTCCAGAGGTAAGTCATCCTCTTGACAGGTCTAAGAAAGCTGTAAGCAGCTTACTAGGAAGCAACTAGTGGGGTAGTCCAGTGGTAAGTCATCCTCTTGACAGGTCTAAGAAAGCTGTAAGCAGCTTACTAGGAAGCAACTAGTGGGGTAGTCCAGAGGTAAGTCATCCTCTTGACAGGTCTAAGAAAGCTGTAAGCAGCTTACTAGGAAGCAACTAGTGGGTAGTCCAGTGGTAAGTCATCCTCTTGACAGGTCTAAGAAAGCTGTAAGCAGCTTACTAGGAAGCAACTAGTGGGGTAGTCCAGAGGTAAGTCATCCTCTTGACAGGTCTAAGAAAGCTGTAAGCAGCTTACTAGGAAGCAACTAGTGGGGTAGTCCAGTGGTAAGTCATCCTCTTGACAGGTCTAAGAAAGCTGTAAGCAGCTTACTAGGAAGCAACTAGTGGGGTAGTCCAGAGGTAAGTCATCCTCTTGACAGGTCTAAGAAAGCTGTAAGCAGCTTACGGACATACACAAGATGGGGAATCAGTGTGACAAGGTAACTTCTCCAGTTCACAAAGTCTAAACCGTCCCATAGATGAATAACAGATGCTATAAAATATAAAGATGCTAAATAACCACATCTATATCACATCTTTGATGGTTTGAAAATTATTATATCAAATTATGACATTAAAAATAGTAATTATTGACAGTTGGAGAGTGATTTCAGACTACAAATCGACTGAGTCGTAGCTCAGTCGATTAAGGCAGCGTCTGAGATCCTCTCAGACGTAGGTTCGAATCCTCGTCACGGCCCTTGTGGATTTGTTCATTTAGATTACAAGTTCGTCATTGAAATTGACGAGTATTAAACCTCAGAAAGGCTAAGACTTGGGGGGTTTACAGACCTCAAGAGCAATGAAATTGACGAGTATTTAACCTCAGAAAGGCTAAGACTTGGGGGGTTTACAGACCTTGAGAGCAATCAGAAAGGCTAAGACATTGACAATGAAATTGACGAGTATTTAACCTCAGAAAGGCTAAGACTTGGGGGGTTTACAAACCTCGAGAGCAATGAAATTGACGAGTATTAAACCTCAGAAAGGCTAAGACTTAAGGGTTTACAGACCTCAAGAGCAATGAAATTGACGAGTATTAAACCTCAGAAAGGCTAAGACTTGGGGGGTTTACAGACCTCAAGAGCAACGTGATTGAGGAAGCCATGAGGGTTGAGAGGCAAGCGATCAGTTGTCGTAGTGGGCTTCGTGGTCGTCGGTACTGATATATCCACCTTCTTCTTCCTTTCGGCAGCGAATCCGTCTCTGCTTCTTCCTGCTTTGATGCCCAAGTCCTGGGGACAGGTGACGTGAGATGGGGTCAGTGGGGGGACACACAATGGTAGGGTGACAGTAGGGGGGACATTGTCACCTTGTGGGGGGACATTGTCACCTTGTGGGGGGATATTGTCACCTTGTGGGAGGACATTGTCACCTTGTGGGGGGACATTGTGTTGTGGGGGGACATTGTCACCTTGTGGGGGGACATTGTCACCTTGTGGGGGGACATTGTCACCTTGTGGGGGACATTGTCACCTTGTGGGAGGACATTGTCACCTTGTGGGAGGACATTGTCACCTTGTGGGGGACATTGTCACCTTGTGGGGGGGATATTGTCACCTTGTGGGGGGACATTGTCACCTTGTGGGGGACATTGTCACCTTGTGGGAGGGGGGACATTGTCACCTTGTCGAAGACTCCAACCTGTGTCGTATCAAAAAAATTTATAAAATATTAGATGAACAAAAGCAAATATTCTGTGACTATCTCTGCAATGACTAGGAAATGTTCGGATTGGAACACACAGCCGTTCGTAATTCACCTCGTTCACCCATAGCTGAGCTCTATAGAGATGTGCTTAATCCATTACAATAGGCCTACATAGTACTCAGCCTACCAGCCTACATACACAACAGCCTGGTCAAACAGCGTTTAAACACATAGGGAATCAATCGATTAGCATCATGTCTGCCAATGTAATCATCTGGGGTTTCGTTACGAATATTAACGATGTCGTTAGTAGTTTCGTGAACTCTCACAGTCTTGGGGCCAGATTCACGAAGCAGTTACGCAAGCACTTACGAACCTGGGGCCAGATTCACGAAGCAGTTACGCAAGCACTTACGAACCTGTCCATCTTTTCTCAATCTTTGGCGGCTTTGTTTACAATTATTAAACAGTTAATGAGCTCCGAAGCACCAGGAGGCTGTTTATAACAATAACAACAGTTGATTGGCAAGTTTTCATGCTTGTAAACTGTTTAATAAATGTAACCAAAGCCGTCAAAGATTGAGGAAAGATGTACACGTTCGTAAGTGCTTGCGTAACTGCTTCGTGAATCTGGCCCCTGATGTGGTGTTAGTGCTGGAAATCTGTTGACCAGACCACATACTAGAAAGTGAAGGGACGACGACGTTTCGGTCCGTCCTGGACCATTCTCAAGTCGACTGGCAACATTTCAAGATGACATGACTAGTCGATTTTCTGAGTCAGTCAACCTAGATTTAGTCGAGAGAGAGAGAGAGAGAGAGAGAGAGAGAGAGAGAGAGAGAGAGAGAAAGAGACTAAGAGAGAGAGAAAGAGACAGTGAGAGACAGAGAGAGAGAGAGACAGACAGAGAGAGAGAGAGAGAAAGAGCGAGCTCTTAAGAAAGAGTTCTTTGACATACAGTCTTACCTTAAAATCTTCAAGCAAGACTGGGAAATAAACTGAAGATTTCTTGCTGATGGCTCCAGGAGGACCTTCATCACCTATGATCAGCCCTAACCCCATACCAGTCACACCTGCAAATAAAATCTAACCTTAGCATAATAAAAAAGACCTTAGTTATTGTAAACATCATCATCACCCCTACGTTATCATGCTAACCCGAGAATTATACTGAGCAGTTCAAAGCTTTAATGATGGGATTAAATTGATGGGGGAAGAGTGGGAATTATGGGGTTCCCCCCATCAAGGAAGGGGGAGGTACAGGGTCAATGGGGGGCTCTTGAAGGGGGTCTCCACCCCCTACATTTAATATCTAGTCAGGTGACTAGGATACTATAGGTGGTGGTGGTACCTTACCTAACACCAGGACACTGTAGGTGGTGGTGGTGGCACCTTACCTAACACCAGGAGACACTGTAGGGGTGGTGGTACCTTACCTAACACCAGGAGACACTGTACCTTACCTAACACCAGTACACTGTAGGTGGTGGTGGCATCTTACCTAACACCAGTACACTGTAGGTGGTGGTGGTACCTTACCTAACACCAGGACACTGTAGGTGGTGGTGGTACCTTACCTAACACCAGAACACTGTAGGTGGTGGTGGTGGCACCTTACCTAACACCAGTACACTGTAGGTGGTGGTGGTACCTTACCTAACACCAGTACACTGTAGGTGGTGGTGGTACCTTACCTGACACTGTAGGTGGTGGTGGCACCTTACCTAACACCAGTACACTGTAGGTGGTGGTGGTACCTTACCTAACACCAGTACACTGTAGGTGGGTGGTGGTACCTTACCTAACACCAGGAGACACTGTAGGTGGTGGTGGTGGTACCTTACCTAACACCAGTACACTGTAGGTGGGTGGTGGTACCTTACCTAACACCAGGAGACACTGTAGGTGGGTGGTGGTACCTTACCTAACACCAGAGACACTGTAGGTGGGTGGTGGTACCTTACCTAACACCAGGAGACACTGTAGGTGGTGGTGGTGGTACCTTACCTAACACCAGGACACTGTAGGTGGTGGTGGTACCTTACCTAACACCAGGACACTGTAGGTGGGTGGTGGTACCTTACCTAACACCAGGACACTGTAGGTGGTGGTGGTACCTTACCTAACACCAGGACACTGTAGGTGGTGGTGGTACCTTACCTAACACCAGGACACTGTAGGTGGTGGTGGTGGTACCTTACCTAACACCAGGAGACACTGTAGGTGGTGGTGGTGGTATCTTACCTAACACCAGGACACTGTAGGTGGTGGTGGTACCTTACCTAATACCAGGACACTGTAGGTGGTGGTGGTGGTACCTTACCTAACACCAGGACACTGTAGGTGGTGGTGGTACCTTACCTAACACCAGGACACTGTAGGTGGGTGGTGGTACCTTACCTGACACTGTGGTGGTGGTACCTTACCTAACACCAGTACACTGTAGGTGGTGGTGGTACCTTACCTAACACCAGGACACTGTAGGTGGTGGTGGTGGTACCTTACCTAACACCAGTACACTGTAGGTGGTGGTGGTACCTTACCTAACACCAGGACACTGTAGGTGGTGGTGGCACCTTACCTAACACCAGGACACTGTAGGTGGTGGTGGTGGTACCTTACCTAACACCAGGACACTGTAGGTGGTGGTGGTACCTTACCTAACACCAGGACACTGTAGGTGGGTGGTGGTGGTACCTTACCTAACACCAGTACACTGTAGGTGGTGGTGGTGGTACCTTACCTAACACCAGGACACTGTAGGTGGTGGTGGTACCTTACCTAACACCAGGACACTGTAGGTGGTGGTGGTGGTACCTTACCTAACACCAGGACACTGTAGGTGGTGGTGGTACCTTACCTAACACCAGTACACTGTAGGTGGTGGTGGTGGTACCTTACCTAACACCAGGACACTGTAGGTGGTGGTGGTGGTACCTTACCTAACACCAGGACACTGTAGGTGGTGGTGGTGGTACCTTACCTAACACCAGGACACTGTAGGTGGTGGTGGTGGCACCTTACCTAACACCAGGACACTGTAGGTGGTGGTGGTGGTACCTTACCTAACACCAGGACACTGTAGGTGGTGGTGGTACCTTACCTAACACCAGTACACTGTAGGTGGTGGTGGTACCTTACCTAACACCATGACACTGTAGGTGGTAGTGGTACCTTACCTAACACCAGTACACTGTAGGTGGTGGTGGTACCTTACCTAACACCAGGACACTGTAGGTGGTGGTGGCACCTTACCTAACACCAGGACACTGTAGGTGGTGGTGGTACCTTACCTAACACCAGGACACTGTAGGTGGTGGTGGTACCTTACCTAACACCAGGACACTGTAGGTGGGTGGTGGCACCTTACCTAACACCAGGACACTGTAGGTGGTGGTGGTACCTTACCTAACACCAGGACACTGTAGGTGGTGGTGGTACCTTACCTAACACCAGGACACTGTAGGTGGTGGTGGTACCTTACCTAACACCAGGACACTGTAGGTGGGTGGTGGTACCTTACCTAACACCAGGACACTGTAGGTGGGTGGTGGTACCTTACCTAACACCAGGACACTGTAGGTGGTGGTGGTGGTACCTTACCTAACACCAGGACACTGTAGGTGGGTGGTGGTGGTACCTTACCTAACACCAGGAGACACTGTAGGTGGTGGTGGTACCTTACCTAACACCAGGAGACACTGTAGGTGGTGGTGGTACCTTACCTAACACCAGTACACTGTAGGTGGTGGTGGTACCTTACCTAACACCAGGACACTGTAGGTGGTGGTGGTACCTTACCTAACACCAGGACACTGTAGGTGGTGGTGGTACCTTACCTAACACCAGGACACTGTAGGTGGTGGTGGTACCTTACCTAACACCAGGAGACACTGTAGGTGGTGGTGGTACCTTACCTAACACCAGGACACTGTAGGTGGTGGTGGTACCTTACCTAACACACCAGGTGGTGGTGGTACCTTACCTAACACCAGGACACTGTAGGTGGGTGGTGGTACCTTACCTAACACCAGGACACTGTAGGTGGGTGGTGGTACCTTACCTAACACCAGGACACTGTAGGTGGGTGGTGGTACCTTACCTAACACCAGGACACTGTAGGTGGTGGTGGTACCTTACCTAACACCAGGACACTGTAGGTGGGTGGTGGTACCTTACCTAACACCAGGACACTGTAGGTGGGTGGTGGTACCTTACCTAACACCAGGACACTGTAGGTGGGTGGTGGTACCTTACCTAACACCAGGAGACACTGTAGGTGGTGGTGGTGGCACCTTACCTAACACCAGGACACTGTAGGTGGTGGTGGTGGCACCTTACCTAACACCAGGACACTGTAGGTGGGTGGTGGTGGTACCTTACCTAACACCAGGAGGTACACAGTTGACTTCAACATTGCCACAATCTGGAAAGAAAAAAATGTTCAAATTACCAAAGAGTTCAATTTATCCAATGGATTATCCTTAGGGACTAAGGTAAGGGAGCATGGGATATCCTTAGGGACTTCACCTCACTAAAACTCCTGAGTACCTACTTACTGCTAGGTGAACAGAGGCATTAGGCGATAGGAAATGTACCCTAAAATGTACCCTGTACCCAACCATTTCTGAACCCCCCCAAAAAATTATTGGGCCCGGGATTCCAATTTCGGAATTGTCGATTGTGCGTCGAGAACGAAGCCGTCTGAATTACTGGGACCCTTTAATCCGGTTATATATATTTGTATTATTACCCTTTAGTCGTCGCTGAATTTTATAAATGTTGTCGTCTGTAAATTTACAGAAGTCTCTGCTTAAATATATTAAAGAAAACCTGCTGTAAATTTACAAAAGTCTCTGCTGAAATATATTAAAGAAAACCTGTAATAAAGAAAACCTGCTTCCTAGAAGGGGTAACTCTGATATTTCAACGATTCTGGCTTTCATTTCTGCGTTCTGAATTTACCCAAGAGCCAGTAATAATAGTGGCCTCGACGAGGACAGGAAGCCGGTGGCTTGTCAAACGCCCCCCCCCACTATGCCCCGATGAAAACCCAAGATTCCCGATAAAAAATAATAAACCACTAATACACTTTGCGCTCTAGAGATAATTTAAAATCGGTGAAATTATTAATTGGTTTGACTGGGTAAACAGCTAATTTTAAACGAGAAAGTGTCATATATATTAATTGTTCTAGACATTTAGATGGAATGTGACATTTTTGCTCCGTACTCTTATGTACGTACGTACGAGTACGTACGTACATACGTACTACGTACTCCGTACGTAGTTGTGCTTGCGGGGGTTGAGCTCTGGCTCTTTGGTCCCGCCTCTCAACCAACTGGTCCGTTACACACAGAAATCACAATAGCGTGATGCATGGGGGGAGTTGTGTAAAATCCTGGTTTGAGTCTCGGAGAGGCTGCAGGATCCAGTAAGTTCTGTATAGCTTCTGGTTTCAACTCTTTTTTTTGACCATGTCGTAGCTCAGTCGATTAAGGCAGCGTCTGGGATGCTCTCAGACGTAGGTTCGAATCCTCATCACGGCCCTTGTGGATTTGTTAATTGGTTAATTGATTGATGCTTTAGACTTAGGCCTATGTACTCTACGAGAGAGGAAACAACTTGTACTAAAGAGGGCAACTCTATACGTCTTCTAAAAGAGCAAAAAGAGAGTGGTTATCTTGAGATGATTTCGGGGCTTTAGTGTCCCCGCGGCCCGGTCCTCGACCAGGCCACCACCCCCAGGAAGCAGCCCGTGACAGCTGACTAACACCCAGGTACCTATTTTACTGCTAGGTAACAGTTATAGGGTGAAAGAAACTCTGCCCATTGTTTCTCCCCGGCGCCCGGGATCGAACCCGGGACCACAGGATCACATGTCCAATGGTGTTTGCAGATGTTTATCCCAAAGCCGCTGAGACCTACTCTGCTCCTTGGCCTTGAGTGGCAAGGAGCCACTCAAGTGTCTCCTTAATTTAAGTGTCTCAAGTGGCTCCTTAATTTAAGTGTCTCAAGTGTCTTCTTAATTTACTTGAGTTTCCCCTGCTTGCTCGGCCCGTCCTAGGGTTTTCCCAACGTCCAGAAACTGGGGTACTAAAGTGCCCTTATCCTAACCTGCCAGAGGACCCAAAACAGAAAACGGGGACAGTACGTCATTTTCGCCAGCCGCTTCCATTTTCTAGTACGACGATTTTCACTACTCTACGACGTCACTATTCTACGACGTCACTACTCTACGACGTCACTACTCTACGACATCACTACTCACGACGTCCTATTCTAACGACGTCACTATTCTACAACGTCACTACTCTACGACGTCACTACTCTACGACGTCACTACTCTACGACGTCACTACTCTACGACGTCACTACTCTACGACGTCACTATTCTACGACGTCACTACTCTACGACGTCACTACTCTACGACGTCACTACTCTACGACGTCACTATTCTACGACGTCACTACTCTACGACGTCACTATTCTACGACATCACTACTCTACGACGTCACTATTCTACGACGCCACTATTCTACGACGCCACTACTCTACGACGTCACTATTCTACGACGCCACTATTCTACGACGTCACTATTCTACGACGCCACTATTCTACGACGCCACTACTCTACGACGTCACTATTCTACGACGTCACTACTCTACGACGTCACTACTCTAACGACGTCACTATTCTACGACTCCACTACTCTACGACGCCACTACTCTACGACGTCCACTACTCTACGACGTCACTATTCTACGACGCCACTACTCTACGACGCCACTACTCTACGACGTCACTATTCTACGACGCCACTATTCTACGACGTCACTACTCTACGACTCACTACTCTACGACGCCACTACTCTACGACGTCACTATTCTACGACGCCACTATTCTACGACGCCACTACTCTACGACGTCACTATTCTACGACGCCACTACTCTACGACGTCACTATTCTACGACGTCACTATTCTACGACGCCACTACTCTACGACATCACTACTCTTTAAGTAAACCTAACTACATCTGTTCAAGGGGGGCCTGTGGCTGAGTGGTCAGCGCTACTGATTCGTAGTCCTGTGGACAAGGGATCGATCCCCGGCGATGGCGGAAACAAATGGGCAAAGTTTCTTTGACGCTGATGCACCTGTTCACCTAGCAGTAAATAGGTACCAGGGAGTTAGACAGCTGCTACGGGCTGCTTCCTGGGGGTGTGTAACAAAAAGGAGGCCTGGTCCTATATCGCTGCTCAGGCCTCTGTATTGTGCACTATATCGCTGCTCAGGCCTGTATTGTGCACTATATCGCTGCTCAGGGCTCTGTATTGTGCACTATATCGCTGCTCAGGGCTCTGTATTGTGCACTATATCGCTGCTCAGGACTGTATTGTGCACTATATTGCTGCTCAGGCCTCTGTATTGTGCACTATATTGTTGCTCAGGACTGTATTGTGCACTTTATCGCTGCTCAGGACTGTATTGTGCACTATATCGCTGCTCAGGACTGTATTGTGCACTATAATCGCTGCTCAGAGCCTCTGTATTGTGCCACTATATCGCTGCTCAGGCCTGTATTGTGCACTATATCGCTGCTCAGGGCTCTGTATTGTGCACTATATCGCTGCTCAGTGGCTCTGTATTGTGCACTATATCGCTGCTCAGGACTGTATTGTGCACTATATTGCTGCTCAGGCCTCTGTATTGTGCACTATATTGCTGCTCAGGACTGTATTGTGCACTATATCGCTGCTCAGGACTGTATTGTGCACTATATCGCTGCTCAGGACTGTATTGTGCACTATATCGCTGCTCAGGACTGTATTGTGCACAATATCGCTGCTCAGGACTGTATTGTGCACTATATCGCTGCTCAGGCCTCTGTATTGTGCACTATATCGCTGCTCAGTACTGTATCGTGCACTATATCGCTGCTCAGGCCTCTGTATTTGTGCACTATATTGCTGCTCAGGTCTGTGTATTGTGCACTATATCGCTGCTCAGGACTGTATCGTGCACTATATCGTTGCTCAGGCCTCTGTATTGTGCACTATATCGCTGCTCAGGACTGTATCGTGCACTATATCGCTGCTCAGGCCTCTGTATTGTGCACTATATTGCTGCTCAGGTCTGTGTATTGTGCACTATATCGCTGCTCAGGACTGTATCGTGCACTATATCGCTGCTCAGGACTGTATCGTGCACTATATCGCTGCTCAGGCCTCTGTATTGTGCACTATATCACTGCTCAGGACTGTATCGTGCACTATATCGCTGCTCAGGTCTCTGTATTGTGCACAATATTGCTGCTCATGACTGTATTGTGCACTATATCCATGCTCAGGACTGTATTGTGCACTATATCGCTGCTCAGGCCTCTGTATTGTGCACTATATCACTGCTCAGGCTTCTGTATTGTGCACTATATCGCTGCTCAGGTCTCTGTATTGTGCACAATATTGCTGTTCATAACTGTATTGTGCACTATATCGCGTGCTCAGGTCTCTGTATTGTGCACAATATTGCTGTTCATAACTGTATTGTGCACTAGTATCCCTGCTCAGGACTGTATTGTGCACTATATCGCTGCTCAGGTCTCTGTATTGTGCACTATATCCCTGCTCAGGACTGTATTGTGCACTATATCCCTGCTCAGGACTGTATTGTGCACTATATCGCTGCTCAGGTCTCTGTATTGTGCACTATATCCCTGCTCAGGACTGTATTGTGCACTATATCGCTGCTCAGGCCTGTATTGTGCACTATATCGCTGCATATT